CTCCTCAGAAACCCTATACATGGTCACTGTGAGTAAGGACTGACTCAATAGTGCTTCACAACAAAGAAAAATTCATGGTGAGCAGGGCTTCTGAGTAATGGAAATTGCATTGATGGTTTTGGCATCCTCATGCTAGCTGATAATGGCAAAGACTAGGGAAATAAATGCCTTCATCTAGAAGTAGAGCTGTAAGAAATTTAATTAGAAGCTAATCTGAAATAATAATAAAAATGAACAAATTCATTAACATTTGATAGAAACTAAAATTCATAATTAATTATAAAGATATATTTTAATTCTACCCCCATCTGTCAGTTTGACTTGCATATTGCTATATTATTGGAAGCTATGCTGTTGTTAAGTGTTATCAAGTCGGTTCTGACTCATAGTAACCCTGTAACAGGGTTTCCAAGGAGTGCCTGGTGAGTTTGAACCACCGACCTTGTGGTTCAAACTGACCTTGCAGTCCAGTGCTTGGCCCAGTGCTTATCCTACAGCACCACATCAAAACTCCTTAAGCCACCAATAACACAAATAACAGCAGTGTCACACATGGTATCCAACCTCAAACAGTGAAGAAAGATCTGGTGATCAACTTACAACAATTAGTTGATGAAAAATATGGATTATAGTAAAATGTTGTTGAACAAAGTGCACAAAAATGAGCCCCCTAGGTTGTAAGGCCCTCAAATGGACTCAACATGCCAGCAATAGATGATGAAACAGGACCATATGACAATTTCTTCTGTTGTACAGTGGTTATCATGAGTCGAAGCAACTAACAACAATATATTATAATCAAGCTCTATCTGATTGTTTGAAAGAAAAGTTGTAAATAATCAAGTTCGAGAATAAATTAGAAATTGGTCTTCATTTGGAGACTCCTAAAGCATATTAATGTTCAAAGCGTACTTGATAGGTGTTGAACTGTTTGAATAAAAGGAGGTAAAGAGCAATTAGAGAATTAAAAGGCTGAGAGGAGACTCTTCTTGGCACAAGCTCTTACTTACCTTGAGAAAGGTTAGACATTTTATTATGTATCATTGTCCTCACTTGCAAAGTGAGGAAACTGAACTAATCGCTAAGCTTTTATTTAAATCTTCTATTCACATTTTTTTTTTAAAGGAATGGGATTTGCTAGCTCACTTAGAATCTCTTGAGGGCATTTGTTGTTGTTAAGTACCATGGGGTCGGTTCTAACTTATAGTGACCCTGCACAGGGTTTCCGAGGTTTTAAATCTTTCCGGGAGCAGAAAGCCTCATCTTTCTCCCACGGAACTTCTGGTAGTTTCGAACTGCCAACCTTAAGGTTAGCAGCCCGATTCATAACCACTACGCTTTTTTAAATACTTTTTCCAAAAGTCCCATATACAGATGTATCTAACAAGATACATGTATTCTTTGTAAACAGGAAGATATATTCTTTGCAGATATATTTCTGATGAGAAAAATTTTTCACAATTTAGTTGTCATATATCGTAAAGAATGATATATCCCATATTTATGAAATTGATTTGAAAATATGTAATATGCACTCATTTGTGCCAGGTATTATGTTAAGAAATGGAGTACTGGAGATGAAAGATAAACATATTCCAAACCTTAGAATATATTTTATGTCAGCAAATTTGGCAATTAAGATAAATAAGCAATGTCATTGAATGACACATATTATCTAAGCTCATTCAAAACTAATTCTCACCTGGTGGTAGTTGTGTGCCATGGAGTTGGATCTGACTCATAGTGACGCTGTATAGGGTTTCCACATCTATAAATCTTTATTTATGTCAGCAGAAGGCCTCATCTTTCTCCCTTGGAGAGACTGGTAGATTTTAAACTGATGACCTTGTGGTTCTCAGCCCAGCTGACCATCCACTATACTACCAGGGTTCCAATTCTAACCTAACCCTTTTTTATCTATGGAAGAAAATGAACTTGTTGTTAAAAGTTTCCTCCCAAACAAATTCCATTCCTAGAAGATTTTACTAGTTAATTTAGGCAAATATTTAAAGGGGAAAAAAATATCAATTCTAAATAAACTCTTCCAGAAAATTGAAGAGAAGTATACTTACCAACTCATTCTATTAGACAAGCTTTGTTTGATACCAAAAGCAGATAAAGAAGAGAAGAAAACTACAATAATGTCTCTCATGAACATAGTTATGTGGTGGTGATTATCATGTGCCATGGAGTCGGTCCTGACTCATAATGACCCTGGATAGGGTTTTTGAGGCTGTAAATCTTTATGGGAGCAGAAAATCTTATTTTTCTTTCATGGAGCACCCAGTAGATTCAAACTGTTGACCTTGAGGTTAGCAGTCCAACTTATATCCTGCTACACTACCAGAGATCTTTGAATATAATTATAAAATTTCTTAATTTTTTTAGGCAATTGAATCCAATGATATATCAAAAGACTAATACTTCTTGACCAATTTTTTTTGTATTCCAAGCATGCAAAAATCAGTCAATGCAATTCACCATGCTAATAATCTACAAAAGAAAAAGTAAGGTAATAGGTAAAGAGGAACATTCAACACAACCTAGAAGCCATTCTCAACTAATTAGGACTAGAATGGAACTTTCTCAGTTTGATAAAAGCCATGTACTATAAACTTATAGCTAGCATTATACTTACTGCTGAAGACATAATGATTTTCCACTAATTTCAAGAACAAGATAAAGATATCTGCTCTCACCGTCTCCATTCAATATTGTACTGGGAGTTACTAGAATGAAGATGGCAAGATACAAGATAAATAAAAAGAAATAAATTGTGTGCCTCTATGTATATTGACACGCAATTTCTTTCTTTCTTTTTTTTTTTTTTAATCTTGTATCTTGCCATCTTCATTCTAGTAACTGTCAGTACAACTGTATATTGAAAAGAGCTCTGGTCGTGTAGTGTTTATGAATCAGGCTGCTAATCTCAGGGTCAGCAGTTTGAAACTACCAGCTGTTCCGCAGGAGAAAGACGAGGCTTTCTGCTTCCGTAAAGATTTATAGCTTAAGAAACCCTGTACAGGGTCGCTATGAGTTAGAACCAACTCCACGGCACATAACAATTACATGTATATTGAAGTCCTGGTGTGGTGCTGTGGGCTAATGTGCTGGACTGCAAAGTCACTTTGAACTACAAGGTCAGTGGTTCAAGTTCACCATCAACTCCTTAGAAACCCTATACAGGGTTGCTATGGATCCGAACTGAATCAACAGCACTTAACAACAACCACAACAATGTATATTAGCAGAGTCCTAGTGTGGCACTGTAGGACAGCAATGGACTGCTAACCTAAAGGTCAGTGATTCAAATCCATGAGCTGCTCTTCAGAAACCCTCTGCAGGGTTGCTATGAATTGGAACCAACTCAACAGCACACAGCAGCAACAACATATGGATAGGGACATTTTTGTTGATCTGTTAAAGCAACTATAGGAATCTAACACAAAATCATAAAAAATTAAACATTGTCTTTGGTAATTTTTTACATTTAAAAATTATTTCCTGAATTTTAAAATTATTTTTCTCATTTAAAAGTATTTAGTTATAAGATGAATATA